AATGTAAATAATGATTATATTATAATGTATAATAGAATTATTGCAAATAATTGAAATATTTATAGGCGATGATACATGCATTATATGTAATATGTATATGTGTATAAAGTATGTATTACAAGAATAATTAAACAGCATTTATAATTGTACTTACATATTATATGTTGAGTGATTATATTTGTATATGACTGTAATACTTAATAGCCATTTCGTTTATGTATGTCTACATAGGCGTGTGTGTACAACATCGTGTTTATTATATAAACACACACATACCCCTTCCTGCAATGTTGAGTGTTGCCACAGTCCAACATGGCTTAGCAGCTAATGGCAAGCCGGCCCCTTTCTCCGAGTGCCGCTAACAGCTCTGCTTGCTCCAGCCTTGGGAGCGTGGTGGGCACTTTGCCTGTGCTGTGGGTATTTCATGCTGCTAGTCCCATCCCTGGTGGCCCATGTGAAGCTGTTGAGTTTCTCCTTCCAGTGGAACAAAACTGAGCTTCAGCGATAGGGAGGTTTCCTTCCAGAGCTCGCTGTGCACCACAGATTGGGTTGTTTACCAGCTGGAGGATTAAATTGACTTCCATTGAAGGGAAGAAAAAATATGTAAGTGTTTTCAAATATGTCTTGGAAGCGGTGTCTCGCTTGAAGGAGGCTTCTCAGACTTGCTTTGTGTTTGCTGGCTGGCACTTCACTTGTCCCTGGTAAGGATGCTGCATCTTGCACAGAGTTGAGTTTCTGGAAAAATACTGTATTAGGATGGAGGCAATGAGTGGAAGCTGGGGGGGGCGGGAGGAGGAGAAAAATAAATGCTTTGACTATGCCTGAAAACAAACCCCTGCTCCCATCTCTCTCTACAGCTGGTGACAGCCCCTTCTTTGCTTGCAAAGAGAAACCCTTCTGCACCCAGTAATGAGGGAGCCCCTGACCGACCTTCCTCCCCGATGTGGCTGGGATCTCCCTGAGGTCCCAGCAGCCATCCCAGCACCCAGCACCCCAACATGCTGGCCTTGCGGTGGTGCAGGGCAGGCATCCACCCCCTCCCAAACTCCAATGCCCTTCCTCAGCCCCCATCCCACAACACTGACATGAACGTGAGATTTAGTTTATTCGGGGACAACTAGTGGCTGATCTCAGGAGTGAGCCTAAACTGCACTGCTAATACAGTGTGAAGCAAAAACAAGGGAGAGAAAAATAAATTTTACATTTTTTTCACTGCCTCCCACTACAGCCTGGATCAGCTGGCTGATGGCTGCACAGAGCTTGGAAGATCCAGCACAAAACACTTTTTTTCTGCTTTATTCAAAACGAGCCAGTCTCATTCTTCTGCCGACACTCCACATTTGCCTTTATTCCCCCAAGAGATTAAAACAAGGTAAGACTTCAACTGGGATCTCGTAGCATTTGATGGATTTCTCAGTCAAGGGCAAGCGCTGAGCCCAAATGGGCGGGTCAGCAGCCAAGGACTAAAGAGCAGCAGGAAAGAAACTCTCTTCTCCCACATCTTCCTTTTTAAGGACATTGCTTGTTTGGGAGCTGTGAGGACTAAATACAAATGAAAGTCACTGTCAGCTCAAACGGAGGTGCTGGTGACTGTGGCAGGGTGGCTACAACCCAGTGAAAAGCTGGGCACAGTAATGACACAGACACAGCAGCAGGGAAGGCAGGCCCATCGCTGGCAGTGACTTTCCTGCTGGGTTAGATTAAAGACAGAAATCACTATGAAATGTCCACACCCCTTCTGGGCTCTGCTACCCACACAGGTTTGCTCTGAAGCTATGTGAATTCTGTGAAGGAAAAGGGAGGAAAGCAACCCCCTCCCCAAAACTCCTCCCCAGGAAAATAACTCCAATACACCACCACAGGGAGCATAAAACCAGGTAGGGCGTGCTATGATGTACTGAAAGCTCTTAAAAGCTGAGGATCCTGCAGGCATTTAAACATCAAATCTCTGGTTTTAAGGGGAGGGAAGGGGGACAGTGCCTGGACAACTCAGTGGCTTCTCGCCCTGATAGGACGGGGGCTGCGCTCGGGGCCACCGAGGCAGGCAGTGCCAGGGGGAGGGAGCAGCGCTGCCCACTCACTGAGGGGCTGGGGGTGCTTTCTTGGAGGAGCAGGTTCAGATGGACGTACAGGAACGGTGATCCAAGCCGCGCTCCTGGGTTACACATAACCTTTGTTAGCAAAGGCCCTTTCTTGTTTGCACAGGGAAAGAAAGAAAAGGAGGAAGGAGAAAGAGTAAACAGGTTGAACAGCCAAATAGCTAGCCTCTCGCTGCCCTTAAAAAAAAAAAAAAAAAAAAAAAAAAAAAAAAAAAATCCCCTTTTATTGAAACCATTTCCTTTGGTTATATCATTTCTCTTGAGGCTGGAAGCAATTTTCAGTCTTAAGTGCGTTCCCTGCACTAAGTGCCTGGACACGAGGCTGATGCTTGGCTGCCCGCCAAGGGGTACCCCAGAGAACAGCATGTCTTGCTGTGCCCTGTGTAATCTCCCCACATCGGCTCATAGCCCCAATGCCTCTTGCAAGGGGGGAAACCCCAAGCCTAGCAAGGGCAAGGCGCAGCAGAGGTCACCCTGGCCCAGCTGGGTCCCGCAAGTAGGACACAGATGGCATCCATTACGTGTTCCCATCCCTGACCTCTGTCAACAGCGACAACTAGAATAAGCCGAGCTCTGCCCAGAAATCCCCCGATGAAGGGACGCACCAGTGCCCGGGCTTTGTTGCAATCGTGTGGCAGAGGAGCGGCGTGTTGGGCACTGGGAATCGATGCTGGAGGAGAGTGGGTCCCTTGCACCAGCCACAGGCTCCAGTCTGGGGCTTTTGGGGGACTGGAGGGAGCAGGGACAAAGCTGTGCTATTAAGAGTTTCACATGCCTGGGACCCTACAGAGGGCTGGGGTGTCCTCAGCAGCTTCGCCTTAAGACCAGCCTTACCTTATTCACGACAGCAGCAAAAGCATCAAGGTCTGGAGAGGACCTCTGCAAGGCAGCAGGGACATGCAGCAAGGAGGAGAAAAGATGGTGTTGAGGCAGGAGGAGTTACTTGCTAGGACTGCTCAAGCCAGTGCCAAATCAGAGCTAATAAAGGTTTACAAAATAAAACGCTAAGCTCAAGTTATTAAAATATACATGTAGGTATCTCCTAATGCAGCCCCCTCGAACTGGGACCGGCAATCAGGCGCTTGCCTTGCTTTCCCCGCAAGCCCCCTCAGCCGCTGCTGCTACTGCAATTATCACACGTGGGTGCTCTCGCCGACGGCGGTGCAGCCAGCAGAGCTGACAGCACACAGGCTGCAGCGAGAGATAAAGCAGCGAGGCCCGAGGCGGGGGGAATGTGTGCCTCAAATGCTGAAACCTCCCCTGCCATGAAGCTGGTGTGTGCACGCTCCCCAGCTCAGCCGGCATGGGGTAATTTATCCTTCAAAACAAAAAAAGGAAGAGGAGGCTTGGAGAGAGGGGAGGCGACAGGTTAGTTTTTTTCAGGGAGTGCTTTTCCCCATGCCTGGCATCCCAGAGCTGAACAGCTTTTGCTGTTAGGGACCTTCAGCCATGTCTTGATCCTGTGCAGAGGCCTCAGCTCTGCAGCAGCTTGGGGAGATCAGAGCAGCAGCAGGAGCAAAGAAACACCCAAGGCCAGCAGGCACCCAACACAGCTCAGATTTAAGTGTTTAAGAGGTGGCAGGTTCCTTGAACAAAGTGTCTGTCTGCCATCAGGCAGGTGGACTTGACCTCCCCCTTTCCATGCTCCAACACGTACAAAGGCAAATTATTATTAAAGTTGAGGCCCAGAGGCATTTTTCAAAGGTTTGATCCATGCCCTCAACTCCTGACTTTTTGATTTCAGCGAGAATCATCTGCTTTCAGCCCCACGTGCCTCCCTGATGCATTCCTAGTAAGGCAACATAGCCACCCTGGAGCGAGGACGTAAGGAGTCATTTGCCAAATCCTCATGCCAAATCCTCACCCAGCCCAACACGGTCCTTATGCACACACACACAGATTCTAGACTTGTTGCAGAGCAACTGTTAATGAGTGGATGGCAACTGCGGGAGAGAGAATGGGCTTTAATTCTAACCTGAAACATGGGGGCTGCAAAAGGCTGCTTTTGGTTAGGAAACACTGATTTTCCTGAAGCCCTATTAAAATTATATTGTCCAACCCTGAATGGATGAGAAAGAAGTGAGCAAGAAGTTCTACCCATCAAGTTTGAACTAGAAACAGGCAGAGCCATGGCAAGAAAAAACAACCCCCAAATCCACAGCTTACCTTTTTTTAACCACTTTATTTGTGTGTGTGTTTCTATAAACATTTTAACTACTGGACATTTCATAAACCATAAAAACAAACCTTCCTACTCCCAAAATGCAATCAATCCAGCTTGTCGGTCAGACAACAGTGATGCTGCCAGGGCAGGTAGGTGGTGTCCCTAGATAACCTCCCGCTGGGCGCGATCCAGCGAGGAGCTCACTGCGTCAGATCCTGAGCGTCTTGAGCGACAGAGAGGAGACAAGTTTAAAGACCCGGTTGCTCTCCCCCAGGGATATGACGGGAGAGAAAAGTGGGGCAAATAAAGAATTTCCCTTGATGGAAAGTCAAGAGTCCGACGGAGATTGTTGCGACATCCACTTGCAGGATCAGGTGCAGTGACCTCGGCAGGTTTTGGAGCGGCCTCACGGGCTGTGTTGGTGCTAGGGTCTGAAACCCATCAAAACGCTCATTCATTACAAATGGCCCAAATGCTCCTTAATGCCTTGTTGGCCGGGTGCAGGTGTGAGCAGCAGGAGCTGCTTAAAACCGGCTTGCTCACTTGCGAGGGCACAAGTCTGTGGGTGCTGATTCCTCAGGGCGGGCAAGCCCAGCTGTAAGGCACAACGGGGAAGAGAGATGGGGCGTCAGGGGAGGCCAGTGCAGCTGGGTGACCCAGCGCTCATCGCCAAGTACCCCGTTGTCCCAGAGGAAAGCACCGTGTCGCACAAGTGATGCAGAGCAGCACATGGTCTCTCAGTTCCCCAGGTTCATGTCCGCGCCGTGGACAAGCCAAACCAGGCGGAAACAGATGGCCAGAAATCCAGTGCCCAGGAGATCCCCCAGGGCAGTGAGGTAGGGGATGGAGAAATTATCCGGATCCAGCGCCTTCCTCCACATCAGGCGCACAATTAGGTCAGCCACATAGAGCAGAATTCCCACCTGAGGAGAGGCAAGACAGGCCCTGCTGTGAGGCAGCAAGAAGGTAATGCACAGCCTCCCTCAGCTCACAGCCAAAATGACGTGGCCACGGCCAAGGTACCAGAACTAACAGGGATCACCGAGAGTTAACACCTTCCCCAGAGAACCACTGTTTCTCTGCGGGATGGAGCTGCGCTGGGATGGGTGTAGCTGGCTCACGCCCTTGGGCACTGTGTTGCCTGGCATCGCCCATGGTGCCACAGCCCCGTGCGGCCAGCCACAAGTGTGGGCACCATGCCTGAACTGCTCACCAGCATCGCGTGGCCCAAAACAGGAGTCTGGCCACACCAGACTGGCATCTCCCAAAGGTACGGGTCCCACTTCCCATGCCATGAATGGGAGTGCTCCCGTTCACTCCACCAGAAACAGGGCTGCTGCGAATATGCAGGCAGCCCCAAAAGATAAGTTTGTAGCCAGATTTTTTCTCAGCATCCTTCTTTTTTTCCATTAGAAATTCAGATGGTGTCTACTTTGTTTTTCCTAAAAGTCTCAGTGGACAACTGGAGTTTGAGGCAGTTTTTACATCAAAGTTATCCCAAGCAGCACTGACATGTTAAAAAAAGAAAATAATTTCTTTTTTTTCATCTCAACAGTTTTAAAATCTTTGTTGTGATTTCTTTTAATTCCTATTTCATTCCTGATTCTGATAAACAGATGGAGGAAAAAAATACTTCAGTTAAAGATTAAAGAGTGTCTAGTTAATTGAATTAAGAAGGGAGAGAGAGTTTGCACCCCACATTTGTGGTCCCTCCATGGGAGACCGCAGCACAACAGGAACCAAAGCCAGAGGCAGCATTTCTAAAGGTGCAAGCTGGGTGGGGGGAGAGGGAGGAGAGATGTGGGAAGCAAATTAAATAACAGAATCACTGAAACTAAAGCTGGATGGAAACTCAAGACTTTTATATAGACCATTCTTTTGCCTCAATACAGGATCAAATATGCCCACATCTTTCCTGACGGTCGTTTGTTTAACCTATGCTAAACGACCCTCAAAGATGGAGATGCCACACTCTAAGCAATCAGTCCCATGGCTTTTTTTTTCCTGTTCTTGTTTTTCCCAAGATCTAACATAAATCTGTCGTCTTCCATTTGAAACACATGATTTCATGTTTCATCCCTAGTGTCCACAGAGAAAATGTTATTCTGTCCCTCCCTACAGAAACTTGGTAGTTTAAAGGCTGTTAACCAGATTTTTCTCAAGCCTTTCTTCGTTGGACTACCTAACCTCAGTCCATTCAATCGTTCCTCTGAGGTCATGTTTTCTAGGCCTCTCATCTTTCTCTTTGGGCTTTCTCCAGCTGACCCAAACTTCCCCCTCTCTTTCTTTCTGTCTTTCTTTATAAAGTATAATGGAGGGGAAGAAAGAATCAGGCTGAGTGTATTCTCCTCCGCTGGCCTCCATGGGAATCTTTCGGGGTCAGTGGCGTTGCTGGGACTCTGCTCTTTACGCTGTCATTTATTCTGCGTATTTTCATGCTTGGCTCTGGTTGAGGAGTTACCTCGATGCATAAAGAGAAGAATAAATATTTTCCCTTACAACTATGGCTGTGCTGGGCTTAGGGTTGTGCAAAGGTCGAGAAAAACTGATTGTTTACACACACAAGGAATTCACCCACAGACACGAGGCTGCTTGTAAGGCAAAGCGAGAAGTCAGCTACCTCACCCTGCAAATTAATGAATCACTGATTTAAAAGGGCAAATGAAGTCAGAGCCTTTGTGAGTTTAAGCAACAGCCGCATGCGTTTCTGAGTGAGACGACAAAGTTTACAGGGCAGGCAAAACAGCGAAAGGGAACAGGCAGAACACATTGGATGAGCTGCCCGTTGTCTACCCAGAACTTTTACTTTTGAAGATGAACTTCTCAGGCCTGGTTTTCCCTTCGCTTTTGACTCATGTGGCCCTGCCCAGAGGGATTCCTAAGTCTTCACCATGATATGTGATACTGGTTTCCAAAATGAGTGCTGGCTAGGGTTCACAGCCTCTCACTTGCCCCTTGCTGGGATAACCAGTGGCACTCTAGAAATACTTGGGCCTTAGAGACTCAAGGAGTGAACATGGTAAAACAAGGTACCACCTACAGCAAAAGGTACCTCCTTGCTAAGTGTGTGTCTGTGCACTTACTGCAGCTCAGCGGATGATGATAACTTGTTCCTCATCTCATGTCTGACCCCTCACCCTTAAGGGCAGCGTGTTCATGTGGGAAACCAGACCTGGCAATCTGGGTGAAGTATTACTGGATCCACAGAAGATACATGATGCGTGGTAAGAAGCACACCTGAAATGACTGGAAATGTGGGCTGCTGCTGGAAGTTTTACCGTGACTCCTGTTTAGCCTGGAGACTGTTTTGTTTTCACAGTATCTGAGAGGTTCCTTTTGGATGGGGTTTACCTGCAGCAAAGCAGCAGTCAGATAGAACATCACAAAGGTGAAGGATAGAGACGTGTGGCCTCCCTGCAGCAGATGGATGGTGTAGAGGAACACAAGGTGCCCTGGGATAACCAGAAGGAACAAGACTCGGGCTGACTTGGAATTCACCTCTGCAGAGGACAGAGACAGAAACAGCAATGACAGTGGCTGCAGACAGTGTGGGGGAGGACAGGACGCAGCTGCATATTTTAATGCTGGTACATAGACTTGGGGCTGTCTCCTCCCACCAACCACATTGCTAATGCCTCTTCTAGATCACACAGCAATCTGGAGCATCTGCAGTATCAGCCCAGCAGCTTTGTCTAGCACTGAATCTGTGTGCCAAAGACATGCTCCATACTGATCCACTCCACTTCTTCCAAACACTCCTCTCAGCTGCTCTCTGCCTCCCACTGCTTCTGCTCTGCCTTGCTGCAACCCACTTCCCCAGTTTTTAGTTTGCTTTAGCAGTAACTCCCAACGTAGCAGGGAAAATCAAGAGGAACCTGCAATCTAAAAAGACAACAGACCCAAATCCAGTTTTTCTGATGCTTAGGTTTACCCATTGCTGAAGATGGAGGAATTGCTGATTTTCAGCAAGGTTATGCTCTATTCATCCCTCTGCTCACAGCTGACAGCTCTAGGCTGGCCATGGTTAAAATGACTTTCTATTAGATCAAATCTGAGATTCTTTTTCAATTACTTTCTTTAGTAAAAGTAAGTACTTTTACTAAGTACTGAAGGCCAGTTTCTTTGCATGCCAGTGAGCAAGTATACCACAAGCCTTTTTTCAAGCTGCCTACTGCAAAGATGCTTCCTTTCCAATCTGAGTATCTTCCCTGTAAGGGGGAAAGGGAGTTCTGCCTTTGAAACCCACCTAGTCCTTCGCCAACCAGGCTTGATAAAGGAGCTATCTGTGATGACAGGCCTTGAGACATGGACACCTAAGGTTCAAGGTCTACCTGATGAGAAGAATGTGGTGCATGGGTTGGGCCAATTCTGCCTCATCTTGTACGGCAAAACTCCAGGCATGCTCCAGAAGTGCAGGAATGTGGAAATACGGCTGGCCTGGATGGCGACCAGATTCCCTCCAACACCTATGAGGACAAAACACAGTAAACCTGTAAAGCACCTTCACTGCAGCAGGAAACATCAGTCTGAAACCTAGCCCAAGGTGAGTCAATCTGCATTCACTTACAAGCTCACTGAGAGCAGCAGTGAGACAAAGAGAAAACCTGATCCCACATGTCATGGTGATGCTCCACTATTCACTTGGCAGGAACAGCTCTAAAAAATCAGGAAGGCTCCAGTGATTGTCTCCTGACTGCTTTATTGGAAACATTTTCCCTTGCTTCCCAGTACTCGCTGTAAATGCCACGTGGCCTCTGAAGATGATGTAATTGCACCTGGTTTGACACAGTCTGTGAGCAACACCTGGGGAAAGCAGTGCAGGCGATGGCAGATGCTGCTCACGGCCACTTCTTGGATTTACTCACCCAGAGAGCCCATTATTGTTTAAAAGACAGCAAACATCACAGAGAGTGATTATATGTCTGTCTGAAGGCATCTAACACACTTGTTAAATGAGAAGGAATCATATGAGAATGAATCAGAGCCCAAATATGTTAGGTAATTAAAAGGCAATTAATTCCTTCCAGACTGATTAATTCTAGCAAACATGAAAAAGCAGCTACATTTTCCAGCAGAAAACAGAGGGATGATGATCTGTGGAACAAACCTCCACCACCCTGAGTATTTGCAGGGTAGAAATGCCACAGAAAGGATAATGGTGAACCAGATCCTACAGGCTTCTCATGTTTTCCCTTCCTTGAAGAAGGAAATGCTCCATAATTAAATGTGAGATTTGCCAGAGCGGAATCAAACTGAAAATACTAAGACTAGCTCAACACAGCTGAAGACACGAAGCACTGCGTAACTTGCCACCAGCTCTGCCAAAGAGGTCGCCCGCCCCCACAGAGCGATGTCTGGGTCAATCATTGTTCAACCAAATTGCTGTTGACGTACTTTCCTAATCAGGCTCTTCGGCTAACCATGCTGGAAAGAGTTTGTCAGCAAGGTGGCTGTCTTTATGCAGATCCAGTAATGTGACAGCTGGGTGACGCCCTCTGACACTGCAAGAGGACACCACGCTTTGAGGGTGGCATGAGGCCAAGCCTGCCCCAGGAACACGGATGTCCCCTGGAATGGGCCTGGCCTGCAAGAACATTACAATAGCAGAAAAATAACCCAGTGGATCCTCAGCGATGCCAGGATCCCCAGCAGTTTGTACCGGTATGTGTGTGTATAAAAGTACTGTGAGGCTTTGAACAAATATAAATATACACGCAAAAGATGTTGAGAAATATATATTAAAAATCCCTACATATAATCCATATATATATTCTTTTATATATATATACACACACACACATATAATCTTAATATATTAATCTTTATCAACAATCTGTATAGGGAATGATTGCACAGCTCAAATTGCTGAGTGGAGAGAGACAGGGAAAATGGATTTATTGTGACACCTTCAGTAGGTTTGATGTTACGAAAGCAAAGGTGTCAACGTAGCTCTCGGAGACAACTATCAGATGCTGTTAGCCCTTCCCACAGCTCTGCCAGTATTTTTCAGCCCTGCCTGCTATTTTGCTCCAGAGACGCTTCAAGATATGAGTAAGTAGGGATGTAATGGGGACCAGTAGCTTCGCTTCTACTCGTGATGGGAGCAGGGACTTGAACACAGACCTCTGTGTAGGGGGCAAGAGTGGATACCATAACCCTTGGGGAGGAGGGGGAGGTATAAATAAAAGCATGCGTATAACCCCCCCTGCCCAACCTACCATTAATCACAGGTGTGAAAACAGCCATTCCTTCAAAGTTTGGGTCAGTTACAGTTTTGTCCAAGATGAGCCCACCAATGCTGTTAAAAAAGGACAGGCAATGAGGGTGGATCAATCTCTCTTCCCAGGGCAATTCCTACGCTGTGAAAATAGCACACTGAGATGAGTTACTGCTTCTTCCCCATTGCCAAGGCTGGACTATTCCCCATTTACTCTTTTTACAGCTCGGTTTTCACCAACAGATAGCTTTACAGTTTTTGTTTATGGCATAATGAGATCAGGAAGATCTCTTTGCCCACCCGTGAGCAAAACTGATAGTAGCCAGGGAAGCTTTATCATTCTCCCCAGAAGTTTTGTTACACTTCCATACTGGTCTTAGCAGTTTTTTAAAATTCTCTCCCAGATCTCACCTGGGTCTGAAAGATGTAGAACGGGAGGAGTGAACTACTTGGCTCTACATTCACCAGTCTTCTGTCTTTACAGCTGGATAAAAATGAGGTTGAAGTCTGACTATTTGTGATGGTCATCATCTCCCTTTTTCGTTTCCTGGCCTGCACCCACATGGTGCATGGATGTGCGAGTGAGACTTAAAATGATGACTTGCTTTTTCCAGTCATTTGGGGGCTCCTTATCTGCTATCTCACAGCCCGTTGGAGGGCCACCAATGACTGAGAAGCACTGGACAAATACCCTTCTGCTGTCCCTTCCAGTTTCATTTTTTATGGCTTTCTAAATGAGCATGGGGTCTCTCTGCAGCATGCATATGCGTGTGGGCTTGGGAGCAGTTCCTCGGTTTACCTGCTGATGCTCATTGCAACAATGACCGGCTGCCATCCAGATTTCAGGACTTCAGTAAGGGAAGGACTTTGCTTGGCAATAGCAACCCAGAGAGGGATCATGACAATGAAGACAGCACAGATCAGAGGAGAAAGGTATTTCATATCTGGCAAGGAAAAGAAATCTTGAATTAAATGTCCATGGCTTCACAGGTTGCCAAAATCATATTGCACAAAGTTTGGAAGAAAGGCAGCAGGGCTCTTGCTCAGACTGAGTTACGTTAGCAGAAAAATCACATGAACCAAGATATTCCCCACACAACCACCTCACTCCACCACAGAAATCCATAATTAATCCCTGAAACTCGCTGCTAGAGGGTGTTATTTGAAAATCAGCAGGATTCAAAGCAAGTTATATTTGAAGATGAGCAAGTCTCCAATTCCATCTCCAACTAAGCAAGACAAAAAGTTACAAAATTTCTTGCTTCAGGGTACAAATCAAACAGCAGGGCAAGGGGGAAACTCCTGTGTGCAAGCTGTACCACACTTACGACAGACACCTCACGCCTTCACCTAAAACAATAGGTAATAGGTACTTTTAGTGGCAAGCTAGCAGAATTGCTGAGCAGCTGGTCTGCTCTATAGGAACAAATGCTCTCTTGCACGTATAAGCCAGTTAAGATCCAGGGTTTCTTTCGTGCTAGCTTACATGTGTTTCCATTAGGTGCTTTTTCCATTCGGTAGGGGCATAAACTTGAAGTGACCTTTAGAAGCAAAGGAATTAAAAAATAAGTAGATGTGCAGCACTAAAAGAAAATAAACATGACTCAGAAGCATGAGAAACACCTTCAAGCAATGGGGATGATGCCAATCCTTTTGATATAAAAATGCTTCTTCAACAAAGCTCTCCATCTGGTCTCTGTGTTGGGGCCAAAGCCAGCGGGTTGTAACGCAGACTTTGCAGGTAATCTGGAGATGAAGCAGGCTCAAAGTGTGCATTTTTCAAAATGACATTGCCAGGGCCTCAGGCTACCTGGATGAGATAGCATCTTCCATGAATCGAGGGCTCTTACACAAAGGGGTGCACTCTTTATGTGTGGCTTTAGTCGGCACTGAAATGCAACCACTTCCGGGGTGTAAATAGCTGCTGTTTTGTCAGTGCACTTTACCACCTGGAGTCATTTAGGACAGATGGGTTGTATGACAGACTTAGCTGCTGTACTGGATCTCCCCCCCACACCCCTTGTTGTTTCAGGCAATTAATTCCTTCTTAAATAATGCAGACACAGAGCACTGGAGTCTATCAAACCTTATCAAAGCCCACAGAAAGACTCCTGGTAGGATGAATGGACTTCAGTCTCCACATTCCAGTTCTGCCACATTCTCTCACATACAGTCCATATGCAAGCTGCAACCCTTTGGCACAGTTTGTATCTCCATTATGCAGGACTGGGAAGGACCAGGGTTGATTTTTAAAAAATTGAAAATCTTCATTGGCAAAAGGGTATTCCACAGAAGGAGATGGTGCTGCATCAGATGGCACATAGTACTCCAAACTTTACAGACTCACTGGTATTTTTGAAGGATACATTTGGCACCCAGAAGTCTTCATAGCATGACCTGTCCCTTACTACACACTGGGAATGGAAATGGATTTATTCAACCACCATCAACAGTGCCTTCCTCCTCCCTGCTTCACTTCATGCTCCCAATGACTAGGTGTCTGTGTGCTGAGTATTTTCCATCTCAAGAGGCTATTTAAACTACTCTGAAAACATCACAAATGCTCTCTGGTCACAACCATAGAAGTTATCATGCTGTTCTGCCGTGTGTTCCCTGGGAGATATTATCAGAGGCGTAGTGATTGAAAGACAAATTAGCTTTACAGAGGTAGGTGTGATGGCGTCATGGAAAAAGCCTATTAAAAAAATGCACCTCTCCATCTCAAGCAGTACTGGACAGAAGTGATTCGTGGGCCTCTCCCTGCAACGTGTGCTCCTTCACTCCCTCACTTGCTGGTATATGGAATGAGTTATGCAAACTGAGAACAGCTGCTTCGCTGCTTCTGCTCACAGTCTGAAGCAACAGTTTGGGTTTCAAACGGTATTGAGTTTGCTGGATCTTTTTATTTTCCTGTTTCTATTCTAGGTTAGGCTCATGGTAAATAGCCTAGCACTTTACAAGCAACAGTCAGGCATACATCACCAAGTTGCAATATGTTTTGAGCTTTTCAGTGTCAACAGGTGCCCAAGTCTTTGCCACCCAGCAGCACAGCTAACCCCATAGACACAACTCCTACTCAGAGTCCTGTGAGCATAAAACAATGAAGCACTGCCTCCCTCCTTCCAAGACAATAATATCTTGTTCATCCGCGACTCTCCACATGAGAAGATGCAAGAATATTTTATAAATGCCAAAACCCTGAAATAGCTTTTTAAGGAAGGACCTGCTATTACCCATTCACTGAAAGTAGTTATGCTTGGCTAGTGACAGACGCAGGAACAGAGTCAGTGTCACATATGTCAACCTTCTGTTCCAAAGCTATGCAATACACGTTGGTCATTTCTTTGACAAATCCCAGTTGTGTTTCTTAGGCTCTGCCTTCCAGTTTTCTACTAAAAGAGAGCCTGGAAAAAGCCTCTTTGGTCATTTTTCTACCCCAGTGGCATGACAGCCTCCATTCTGAAACATCCCAGAAATGGGTAAGCACCCTGCAATAATTTCGCAAGGATTCATCCCTCCCTTGCTGAGCTGTAAATCCCTGCTAAACACGTACCTATGTATTTGAAGAGTGTACTGCTGATTCCTGCCAGCAGGGAAAGGGTTATCAAGTCTCCAAGGCTTGCTGCTATGGGTGTGGCGACATTGTCTGGATTGATCCCAACTTTCCTTGCTCCGATGATCACGCCAATCATCACCAGACCTAGGGAAGACACAGAGCAGGCATCAGAAAATGCATCGTGCTGCGTTTCACCCCAGAGCTGCTGTTCTGGTTCCCAGAGGGACACAGGGTCTGGGAAAAGCAAGATGCAGATTGCCCGTAGTGGTACCACGCAGCTGGAGATTGGACATCCCCAGGAATTTGTCCTCTTGTTTTCACCAACCTGAAGGGCATGACTCTGCCCTTAGGAACTGCACCAAAGGCCCAGAGGCACACAAGCAAATTCCAGGGATCAAAGGAGATATCAGCAGGCAGCCCAAATGTAGAAGCTCCCCTCCTGAGCAGCCTAATCTTTGCTGCCTTGAAGCAGGACCAGGCACAAAGCACACTCATAGATAAGCACACAGCAGGCATGCCGCAGCCTCCTGGTGCCACCCCCTACTCTGGATTCCACAGCACAAAGATATTTTCCATATTAGACCAAAATTTCTCTGAGTTTGAACCACCAAGCAGCAACGAGCTTCCTTACAGTAGCCCGAATTAGCCTTTCAGCCCGGCCATCAGACTGATCCCTCACGTCCCAGAGTCTTTGGGGCTGCTTTAATTTGCACTGGTGGATGTTGATGCTGCGAGCAGCTCCAGAGTCAAGGGGTTATGGAGGTGGCCCACATCATCTCTCTTGCCCTGTCCTTTCAGCTGCACCTTGAAAATTCAGCTGCTTTTCAGCATTGTTGGAGAGGAGGGAAGATTTCCTTGCCCAGGTAAGTTAATGAGCACAAATCCCAAACACTGATGAACATGTGGGAATCCCTCAGCCATCAGATCTCTCGTAGGCCTGTGGAAGAGCCACCTGGAATAAACCCTGCCTGGCCAGCCTCCACTGCTGTGTGACTAGCAAGGGCAGCCTTGAGACAAGATACATGACACCTCTTCAAAGTCCTTCCGTGGCTGACAGGATGCACCAAAGGAAGCTTGAGAAATGGTGGTTCCCTCCAGCTCACAACCTCTCTGTGCCTGTTCGCACAGGCCCACCAAAGCTGAGCGTGCACAGGAGCATTGGCTCTCGCCTAAGAAATGCCACGTGTGCACCTTCCCTGGTACAACATTCCTTATACAGAAACACATCCTCACACAACATGGCATTCTCCACAAAAGCCTTCCCAGACACCCACGCTCCCCTGCCCACAGCACAGTTCATGCTGCTTCCCTCCCTGGTCATAAAAATAGCAGCTTCCCATCATGCACACTCACACACAGGCTGCCTGTGACCGTGTCCAGGGAAGAAACTAATGCTAGCTGAAAGCCTGTGTTGGTACAGCAGCAAAGCCTCTCTGTATCAGACCGAGCAGGGAGATCGAAGGGAAGAGTTTAATGAAAGCTGGGCTGCTGTTCTTCTCTTTTAACAACTGCCTCATCCCATGTTTTTTATCAAAGGCATCTACAATCACCCTTTGACTCCAGCTTCAGGATATGCACTTGCTCTAACTTGTCCCTTTCATTTAGAAAACTTGCTGTATTCAACTCTGCCAGCTCCCCCTATTCAGGGTATCATGCTGCCCTCGTGTGGCAGACCTACAAAATGATCATCTTCAGGCGACACAAAGCAGCTCCTACCCATCCACCCCGTCACGTTTCCCTTGCAAGGGAAATAGCCAGGGGAGTGGACTGCCTGGCTCAGAGCTCACAGCAGGCAAGCCACAGGGCTGGCTGCAATCCTCCGCAGGGTATTGGGTGACTCGAGTGTGGTCTGGAGTTGTCTGCTAACAGACTTTCAATATCCTGCTTTGTGCATGGCATTAGTTCACTCTCCCCTAGGAAAGGGCCAGTGTAGATGGCTAACGTGTCACCCAAGACACTGGAGAAAGTGTGTGCACATGTGTGTACACCCACGCATCACATGTGGTATTTTTTGCATGTCAGGTGAAGTGGGACGTTTTGATTGCTGCTGTGGATGCCCAGAGCCCAGCAAACAACAGATCCTAGGAGAAGAGAAGCAAAGGCAGGATGCAGAAGGGCTGAAAGCAGCAGACATAGGACTAATGCTTCCTGCACCCCTGCTCCCCATGCCAGACCAAAGGGATGTCAGCTGGGCCTCCATAGCAGAATGGACAGTTTTTTCCACACCTGAGTGCTGCATGTTTGATCTGAGGAACAAAAACAACTCACCAAGAGAAAGTGCAGCTATGAAGGCCGTGGTCACGCTGCTGGCACACAGCACGGCAGCCTGGCTCAGCTCCACAGAGCCCTTGGAGATGGCTCCCAGGATCACAGCAGCAACAGCAGCCAGAAGTCCCACCACGGTGGCCTGGACCTAGGGGCCAAAAGACAGCTGGTGAGCAATCATCCGCATCTGCTCCCTGGCAGTCCTGGCTCCCTGCGACCGCAGCATTTCCACACAACTAAGCCTTGCAGAGATGCTGATTGCTTATGTATTTAAGCAGCATCCCTGTAAGGCTCCACTACATTCAAAAAAAATCCTGACAAAGTTTGGAGAAAAACTCTGGAGGCCTGCAAAGGGCAGATAACATTTCAGCAAAGGACACCGAGTCCATCAGCAAAGGAATAGCCCTGGTCAACACAAAAATGGGCTCCCCATCAACACAGCACTCCTAGCAAGCTGAAAGCTGTGGAAGGAGATAAGGGAAAGCACACAGACACATGTTGCAAGCCCTGTGGCCTTGCCATGTGCAACCTCTAGGCTGGTTGCTGGATTTTAATAAGTAGAAGGAGCTACAAGAGTCACATTTCTCCCATCTCTCCTCTCCTGCCCAAGGCTGATTCCCAAACACTGCCAGTAAACGACAGGCTTTATCCAGGGGGCTGTTGTGAAACAGGGATTGTGCCGCAGCTCCCCCTGCGGTTTTTTCACTCAGTTTGTCCACAAAGGCAATGAATGTCTAGATGTGTTTTGCAGCTGAACTACAAGCTCTGGGGCCACACAGAGCTTTATTGGAGGTCAAGTCCTGGGCCCTGCTTGGCTCTGTTGAGAATACCTGCCCCAAATCAACAGCTTGGGATTCAGCACTGCTGGGAACAGATGCTGTTGGGCTGCAGCACAGCAAGAGAAAAGGGCCTTCTTCCTCTCCCAGCTGAAGTGACTCACCTGGATAAGGGCTAAATTGCAGGTGGCCATTTTCCATTGCTTCTGGGCATCATCCATCTGTCCAGTGTTAGCCTAGGAGCCAAGAGAGACACCCTGAAAACCTGTTGCAGTGGCATAGGTGGCTGCTGAAGGCAGCTTCACCTGGTCCCTGTGGGAAAGGGGCTGCGAAAGCCAGAGAGAGGTGAGCGCAGGTTGGCATCTCCTAGCCATCCCTGCACTTCCTTCTTGACACATCTCCACATGCTCCAACCCAGTGTCCCAGGAGTATCAGAGGCTCACATGGAGGTGCAGAGGCATTGCAGGGCACCCAGCTAAAGGTGGAGTGGGCACATCCCGCACAGACTAAAAGCTGAACAAATTAAACCATTTTTCCTCTTTCGTTCCCCCTAAATGGCTCTGTTAAGCTCCAATTTCTCCCGAGACATGCAATACAAGCAGTTCAAAGTAAACAAAACTGCTTAGGGAGACAGGAGAAATCAAATCCAGAGTAGCAAAAGCTACTGCAGGTCCCAAGAAGCCTCGGTCTGCTCCTTCCAAGGTAGGATTGCCGGGAAGCCCTGGGTCTCTCAAGGATCAATACCCACAGAAAAGCAATCCAGTACTGAAGCTGACAGCTGTGGAGTCCTGGCTTTGTCTCCTTCATGTGTCACAGGGCCCCAAATATCAGCAATCGGCCACCCAGGGATTAATTCACCTTCAAAGCGCAGATGGAAATTCTCTGTTCCAGTTACAAAATGAGGGCAAACATATTATTTTAACACTCACACACGACTAGTTTCTACTTAGCAGAAAAGGGCATGTCTCATACACACAGCGTGGTTATATAAAAGCATAATCTCCTGATGTCTCCTGCTAATCCCCCCCCTCCCCAAACACACACCGCCACCACCTTGTTAACACTCACAGCAGTAGAGAGCCTGGATGCCAGTGTCATCTCAAGGTTACCCTTCAGGCCAACCAAGGCAGGAACCAGGATAAAAACTTCCGTAATCGTCCGAAACACATCCCAGTGCTGGAAGAAAACAAAGGCAATGACCTCAGTTTGTGATGCTGACCAGTCCAATGCTATTGCTTCAAAGAGGAGTGGGTTCCCACCTCACCACCTGCTCTGCAGGTGTCTGCTATGCGCATGAGGGCAGATGCTGCCCTGCGCTTGTTGCATTTTGGGATTGAAGGAAGCAATTTTAGCTTGCAATATTCTTTCTGATCTCATGCACAGCAAAGCACTATCCTAACAGGGAAGGAACTTTCTTCCTGAGGGCAACAGAAGATTTTGGAAAGCCACAAATTAAAATGTGCCTTTAGCATTAGCCAAGAACAACATGAAAAATAATTAGGGTTCACAAGCCAAATGAAATACAGCATGCTCTCCATCCTTTGTACTGACACTAGATACAGGAATAGAACAAACACAAAGATCTGGAAACGATCTAACAACAAAAAGTTGTGTCTGTCTTTCTTTACCCAACTTCTAACTAAGCATCTAAGACTGGTGGTGGGAGGGAAGGAGATTTTTGTATCTCTTCTCCACAGGCAGTTCCTAAATCTTCCTATTACCAAGCATGCTCCCAGCACAGCTGGAAAAAGGATTTTGAATTAAGATATCCCATAAGCCCGAACTGCTGGGCCAATATCTTGATTATCATTGCTCCTCTGAAGCTGAACTGTACAAAGCTGTTGAATCAGCTGCAACACTAGAAATGATCTGAAACCTTAAGAAACTTTGTTGATTAACATGTCTTCTCTAATTTATCTACCATACAGTGCCTTGGAACATAATTCATTCACCCCCTTTGCATTCAAGGATGTTGGCAAAGTCCCACTGTAGCCAGAGAGGTTCACATCAGGATGAAATCACAGAACGGAGCAGCTCACCGTGAAGTAAAACGAACTAGCCCAACATCTAAGAGCAGAATACAAGAAAAAAAGAGCAGCTGCAATGAGTCAGACCAGAGGTCTATCTAACCTATCCTTATCTCCACCAACAGTCAAATTCAGGTGTATAAAACAAGAATCTACAAGTATGGCAAGTAGATGGGATAATTCTCCTGTGTATTTTCCAGCCTATGACTATCTGCCATAGGGTACTGAGCCGGTGGGTTTTTTCTGCACACTTACCAACGTTCAAAGGATTTTTCTTTCAGGTACTCATCCAATCTACCCTCTCCGACCCATGTGCCATCCTGTGGCAAAAATTTCCATAGTTTAGCTACACGTCATGTGAAGGATCAACTTGTTCATGAATTCTAACTTGTTACTGGCTAGTATCATATGACAGTCCCGAATTCTGGTGCTAGAGAACAAAATGAACAACAGATCCCTGCCCACCTTTCTCCACATCCATTGGGATTCTATAAACCTGAAAATCCAGGAGGTTGGACAGACTCGGTAAATGTCGACACATTCAGCTGTCAGCCTGTTGGGAAATATATACAGGGTGTAACAGCTCGGTGTTTTGCTCTGGCTGTGCCATGGGAAACTGTGGGAAGCCGGTGGTGTGGCTGTCTGTTGGGAAGACCTCACAGCTTCCTTCTGAGTCAGGATGAATGAAAGTGGGGCTGAGCCAGCCCTGAGCACATGGTGCAAGACACCCCTCAGAGGTGCAGATAACAGGCAAAACATAATTATTAATATAAAAAGGCACATTTCCTGGCAGTGGTGACCTGGAAACAGGCACGTTTCAAAATGTTAAAGGTAAGTTACTGTTGAGTAAATAACAGACAACACAAGAATAGTCACCTTACTTGACACACTACCATTTTGTTTGAATTTGTTAACATGGAACATAAATACCTGAGAAAAGCTAGGGGCGGACATCTCTTAAAGATTCAAATCCCCCTCTCTCCTCTCTCTTTAATTAAGAATAAAGATCCAAACACATCTTTGACACCTTCAAAAGAAAGAGGAGAAAAAACAGACTTCATAGTCACAATGTAAAAAACCCCAATCATATAAAATACACAGGCGTGTAGACATTCATATTTAAGACCTTGCATATTTTGCACACAAAAAACCATATAAATAAAAAACAACAGAAAAACTCAATTGTTTGTATTTTCTGTGCATGTCACCTCCGGGAAATATGACTTTGTTATATCAATGTAAGCTCCAATCCTTGTGTTCATGATGAATTTTGCAGGTCTCAAGCCATCATAACAGATGTTTCAGCATATGAGGTATGATTTTTTGGGACTCTGCCTTACATATAATTACATGGAAAGGCTTTGAACAATTAATAAAGAATCACACAACTGTACTAAGAAAAAAAGCTGACTTAATTGCCTCCATTTGAGTCTCATTAGTGACTCACCAAGAGCCTAAGGACAGATTCATAATGATTTATACCACAGTAGCCAGGACTCCATTGTGTTAGAGACTGCAGAAATACAGAATAAACAGATGATCCCTGTGCCATCGCCTTCCAGGACTGTCAGCTGGAGGAGCAGGTGAATGTGGCAGGTTAGAGCTGTGCAGGCAAGGAGCTGCCTGAATGAAGACAGCTGGGTTAAGTCTAGGAAGCATCTCTGTCCTTCGAGATGAAAACTGGCCTAGAAGGAACAGAAACATTCCCTGCAGCATTGCAAACCCACACAGGGACACTGAGCCAGAAAGAGACTCCCACTTCACATCCCCATAATGGAGTTACAGCCCTAAAGCTCAGCTCCAACGAAACTTGGTTACCCCATGATCCACTGCAGCTGGTCCCTGTGCCAGTTGGATCTGCTCACGGGGTCCCATAGAGGAAGAGAGGCTATGATGTACTGAGGCAGTGTTCCCAGCTGCAGTCTAGCCCCACTGCCTCTCCTTACACTGTCCTCACAGTCCCAGCCATGTCCCACCTCTCCACAGCATCCATCCTCCCATGGCAGCAGCTAAGAAACCTCAGAGGTTTTCCATTGCCCTGAACAAGTCAGCAGAAAGTTCAAAAGATCCTGGACTATAAAACGCAAGCCAATTCAAAATCCTTTTCAATGCTAATCATCTCATGGGCTTTTATCAACAAAGGACAGGGATATCTTATGTCTGTGACATTTATTTGGACTGTCCCCCACTGCAGTAGTGTGGGAGGGGAAAATGAAAGGGAAGCTTTCCTCCTGAATTCTCTGGTTTGAAATCTGACCATCCAGCTTCAATCTGATTCTTCACCTTACTGTAAAAGAGTGGGCCAAACACTGGCAGGGCCCTGCAAGGTCTCCAGTAATGCCAGCCAGCCCGGAATCCGGATTGACCAGCTCGCCAAGGATCACTGGAGCAGAGGGGGAAACATCCAGCAAGAAAAGACCTGTACCATGCTACCAGTCCTGCACAGAGACTGCATCACCTGCACAACCAAGAACAGAAAATGGCAAATGGCTATTTCTTTGGGCATCCTTTTAGTACAGTACGAGAGACCCAGGTTTGAGCCTTGGAGTCAACTGGGCTAGACAAATCTCACTTGTTGATTTTTTTTTTTTTTTGAACAGTTCTTGGTTTCATCCCAGGACAGATCAAAAACTGCTAATATCCTGAAAAGTTTGATAGGACACAAACAAGCAACTTCCACTTTGTTCTCCTCTTTACAACAACATCAGCCCTGCAAGAGAGAGCGCCAGCTGGACTCCCAGCACAGAACCACATTATTTCAAGATAGTTTGTACGTAACAAAACAAGGGCAGCACCATTAAACTCACATGTATGCTCTAGATACCATCCTTGAGCTTGCCCATATATCTCCCTGTCAAAGGCAGACACGGAGTTTCCAAAGAATGTTTTGCAGTGACTGCAAATAGGGCAAAGCATTCCTCAGCCACACCATCCCCTGAAAAATGGGCAAATCACAGACTCCTGGACTAGAAAAACCTGTAGTTTCAGTAGTGTGAGCCTTCATGATTACCAATATGAGTCTTATGGTACCTAGCCTCAAGCAAACAAACTCAGTCTCAGGTTTTAGTTGGACAGGACAGTGAGTTTCTAGCTCTCACACCTGCAGAAAGAAAAGCTGAAAATAAGCAGCTTGAAGACAAAAAGGCACAGAAGAATAATCCAAACATTTAAAGGCTAAGATCTCTGGATTTTCCCAGCTACTGGTTTTGGTTTTAAATATGGGGTTGTTGATACCATGGCAGCTCACTTCACTTCATCTCTCCTATGCCAGTTGTGACTCTCAATGCACTAGCTCCCTCCTCTGGGAGCTGAACCCATTGACTGATGGCTTCTATTTCAACATAGTTGGAAACACCTTCACCAAAAAATACACTTCCTGTTATTTGCTTCACACATGACCCCATTTTTAAGAGTCTAGGGAACAAATACACAAAGTAGACTGCACTCTGGTATTTAAAGGACACATGCAACGTAGATATACGTGGCTTATGTTTTCCATCAGTTTGGATACAGTTACTTTTTTGAACAGAGCCCAATTCTTAGCAAGTGTGTTTGATTCCTTTTAGACAAAGACCTATTCACCTGCCAAGGGTATGGAGTGGGTACGCACTATGTCTTCATCCTTCTCTGAGATAACTGCTAACTATTAACATAACATCTTGGGTAGTTTGAGAACTTCTGTAATGCTGCAAGACAGGTCTGTGCCTAAGCACAGCACAAGGTGGAGATGACAAACACAGCATAGCAACAGCGTGTGCCACTCCAGTTAACCCTTCTTTGATATTCCTCATATTCCGTTTAATTCAACTTCTCTGCCTTCTTTGTTTCTTCCAATGCAAGAAAAAACAGCAAGGTATTGTCTTTCCAAACACTCAAGTATCCATATTTAGCTCCTGCTGTGGTACTAATGCCAGAGAATCCAATGTACTCCAGTGAGCTCAGAGTGCAGGATATATCCTTGGGAAACTCTGCCAGCCTTTTGATTTGTAAATCCACTGGCATGAGATGCCCAAACTAGATCAAATTTTGCATTTCTATTTGTGCCACTGGTACAAAGGAAAGACAGATAGGATAGATTCTAGTTGTGGGCACAACGCTGTAAATCCAGCAGCACTCCTTGGAAGTCAATGGAAGTTATTCCAAATTTGCACCCACCTCAGAATCTGGCCAAGAAGCACTCAGTTTGTAGGCAATGCTAATCTTTTTATGCTGGCATGCCTCTCATCACAGTATCTAAATGCCTTCTGGACCAAAGATTACATTAGGTTGTTTGCAAAGAACTGAAAGCATAAACTTGCCTTTAAGTGAGACAGGTAGTTAATAACAACCCTGACCTAGATTTCCTTATCGGCAGTTTTTGAAGGAAAGAAATAATATCATGCAATAGGGGAATATGCCACAGTCTGATTCCAGTTGCTTCATAGCAGTCATCATCGAAGTGTTTAGCTAGATACAGTAAAGGGAGCACCCAGTCTAATGCACCGAGGGCAGTGTCAGGCAGCCTGTCTGAAAGCCACTATCCCACTTCACAAGGAGCCCATGTACTGATCTAAAGAAGATGAATAGTGTCTCCCTAGCACAGGAAAAGCCTACAGCCATCCTGCTGACTGGCTGCTTGGACCACACACATTAAAAATAAAACCGCACAAATACTCAAGGTCAGTGAATTAGCCCACCCTCTCACTATAAACTTGTCTAACCACATGTACCTACTTGAACAACATCCATTAAGAGGCCAGCAGCTACCATGCCCAAGCCAGCCAGAACGAACGGCACGAAAATCTGCGAGGCAATGGAGAATGAAGTCTCTGGGAGAAATCCACTGGCTGACCTGGTCAACTTGCAGGTGAAACCTCTCAGCTTCTTGCCATGGAAGCACAGTTCCAATTGTAACTGGGTGACCACCATGGTCAAACACCGTTACCCCATGCTCAGCAGGGCAAATGGGGGGAGATCAGGACATTACACAGATCCTCCTGGTAGCTCTCTTCGAAGTCTAAGGAAATGTTTTTCTTCAAACTACAGCAATGATGCCAAATGGCTTTAGCTTCTTCTCCTCCAAGGAGCACGTCCAGAGGGTTGCAGCAAGGGTATCCTCCAAAATTGATTCAGCTGGGTTGAGCCCAGGTGGCAGCAAACTTGATGGACACTATTTCTCCAATTTATATCCAGGGGGGAATTAAAAAAGAGAAAAGAAGATTGCGGAGATGTCTGCGGACGAATAGAAATGAGCCCACACCCCATTCAGCTCCCACCATCTCGGTAAAAACCAGTAAGACCTGCTCAGGCTACAGCACTGAAAGAGTGACAGGTCATGCAAGAATCCCTCAGCGTGCTCAAACGCAGTAGTGTCCTTTCTCCTCAGGTTACATTTCTTGTCAGACTGCGGCTCGCCTTTGATACGATGGTTTAATATGTAAGCCTGCTGTGAACCGGCCCCCGTTCCCTCACTCCCACCATAAGCAACGTTGAACTTTTCTCACTGTCCCAAGGCCGAGGAGGTGGGGAGTTAACAACCAGGATCCGTTTTGCTCTCCTTCAAGGTGAAGAAAAGTCAAGGAAAACATAAGTCCACATTTCTCATGGCTGACGATATTACGCAGGTCTCATCCCCAGGCAAGTGACACAGCTAAGCCAGCTGGTGAGAGAAGATCTGCCCTTCTAGACCCCAGCCCCTCTTGTCCCCTCCATGGTCTCCGCAGGATGTAACAATCGGTCTATGCCAGCTATACCTCTGAATGACTGGCTTTCGGGGGAAAAAAAAAAACAGAGAACCAGCCAATAAGCTTCAAAAGCGAACACCCTTATCTGCTGTCATCACTTCAACTTTCTGCTAGTTTGCAAAGGCCAAGATAAGAGTCATAGCCAGAGCTTATTTAAGGTAGCTCTGTAATCTCACTACACCGCAGGCAAGGGAGAGAAAGGGTGAATGTTTCCACGGCATGCTGTGAGCTGGTCTCCCTTCCTGTCCTAAAGTGAAACACACTGCTTCTGCACACTCCCAGGAAGATACTGTCTTTGAGAGAGGGGGCGTCACCCCAGAGTCTCCATGGTCAACCAGCTGACACAAGTTCAAGAGCTGCATCATGGCCACATATAGCCAAAGAATTTGCATCCTGCTCAGTAAAGACTTCAGCTCAAAATTATGCATGTGGGCAAGGGAGTCAGGATATTCTGTGGGGGCTCCTCTCTAATAATTAATTTGGGCACATAATTGGATCAAAGGGTCAAAAAGTTTTAAAAGCACAATTTAAGATGGAAGAGTATAGGATTGGTTTAGTACATTGGCAACTGAGCTTTTTCACTATTCAACCACAGGTTCAAATCCAGCCATGCCCCAGTGAAGGCAAATGAGTGAAAGCAAGTATTCAGTGGTAGGCACAAAAGATACAGGTTTCTCAGTCCAGTTCAAATTCAGTGTTTAAATTGCATTGCCTTACTAACACTTTTTGTACTAATCAACTCCTTGCCTGACACTCTCTGCAGAGAGATGTAAAGATTCATGGCCTGTGGACTCTGTCCTTGTGTCAGGGTCCCCAGCTCGGAGCTAAATTCATTGTCAGAGTTCAACAGAACAAGACACGCTTTTGCCTTGCAGATAAATAGGGAACTGCGGAAGCTCTCAGCCATTTGGACGGTGTGTTTCTTTTAGTCCGAATTCACATAAACGAAAGCACAAACCCTAATGGGCTGAGATGGTACAGCAGATCTCTCCGCTAGCACGGCAGGGTGCAAAACAAGCCCTAGCTACAAATAGGAGACTGTCCTTTGCTGCCTTCTAGGTTGATATTTTGGTAGAGCCCCCGAAGCCTTCTCCATCCCCAGCTGGCTTGGTGCGTACGTGTGTCTCTTCCACCTAACAATGGTCCGGTTAGCTGAAAGCTAATAAGGGAGTACATTTCAGCTAATCTAACTGGAAAAAAAAGCCCACAATACCTGGAAGAGGGAGGTTAATAAAAATCCTCTAATAACCACACATGACCCAACCTCTTTATACCAGCCAGGAACTGAGAAGTGACAGCATGAAGGCCCAGTTCTGGTTAGAAACTCACAGAGGCTTCAAGGAAATAAAGGACAATTTCTGGGCAACTCCTGTAGGTTTTCAAAGGTCTGATAATGTGCATACTTAGTCCCATATGCCACTGTATCTGACAACTGGATTGCTGACAGGCAGAAACATTAATGTAAAGGAAATATTAATAAGCCTGAATGACTCAAATGCCATTAAAAAGCACAGCAGCAACACATCCTGTACTAAAGCGTCAGCCTGGCAGGGTTTATGAGTTTATCACGCTTCGGCTCTCTCTGTTTCTAAGCAAGCACCATAAAAAGCCTTCAACCAATGAATCAGTATGCAGAGAAGGTAATTGGTTCAGGTGACCTGCGTGTGTACACTAGGTCATTTTATTATGTATTTAAGGAGCCTCTGATAAAGATCTGCACCATATTTGTCAGCAAAGAGATGCATCATATTTTCCTGGCAAAAAGATATACCATATTTGTCCGCAAAGAGATGCATCAGGTTTGAGAAGAAAAGAGAGTGTTGCTGAACAGCGGGAAAAAGATTATAACTAGTTTGGAAAAAAAAAACCCACCTCATGGCTGCACCACTCATCATGGCAAAACCCGGGGAGATACACTGCTGCCCTTCTCTGCACACATAGAATCATAGAATCATTAAGGTTGGAAAAGACCTCTAAGATCATCAAGTCCAACCATCAACTCAACATCACCATGCCCGCTAAACCATGTCCCTAAGCGCCTCATCTACACATCTTTTAAATACTTCCAGGGATGGTGACTCTACCACTTCCCTGGGCAGCCTGTTCCACGGCTTGACCACTCTTTCAGTAAAGATATTTTTCCTAATGTCCAATCTAAACCTCCCTTGGCGCAATTTGAGGCCACACAAATACACTGCATCCCCATGCTTGCAAACTAGCCAACAGGTAGCATTGCCCTAGAGGAGCCAAAGCAGAAACAGCCTCTTTGGTGGACCCTGACTCTGATCTAGGGCCTCCATCCACTGCCACAGTACAAAAAAAGAACAGAAAGATGACAAGTGCCAAAGAACACAGTTTCAGAGGTACCTGATCATCCGTGCAAAAAAGGGACAGAGATACCAGTGAGTGCTCTTACAACATGGCAGTGTTAGCAACAGACAGCATTATTCTAACCCCTTAGACTCATGGAAGGACAATGCTTTTCAGGGACCATATGTCCCAGTTGTTGGAGTACTATGACTCCTGACTCTGCTAGCTCTCTGTCAGATCAGGCTGTGTATTTTTGTTTCTTACCTTGCTCCTCTCTTCCCCACTTCAGGAAAGGGCAGAGAAGAGAGCTTATGTGGAGAGACTGAGAGCCAGCAGATGGTGAGTGTCTGAGGCCAAAAGCCTCGCAGCATCTCCTGTTGCCCCACAGAAACAGCAGCAGCAGCAGGGGCAGAGGCTAGGACTGGCTTAGAAAGGAAGGGCAGTTCCTAGCAGCAGCGAGTCCACGATGAGACATGCTCAAGTACCCCATGATCATGCATGAAAAGTCACTGTGCTAATTGCCAAAGGCCTGCTTTTCCTACGAGATGTTGCATGGGTTGATTTCCCAGGCTCTAAGCGCTAACATGAAAGCTCTTTGTAAGCTCTTTATTTGCATAAAACAGAAACCAGACTTTTGCAGTTTCAGAAGGTTTGCTTCACATTCTGTTTATATTAGTGGCTCAGTCCTTCCTAGAAAAAAAAAAATACTCTAAGGGAAGAACAGTGAAAGAAAAGCACTCCTCCAACATCATAAACCCATCTGCAACCTATTTCACGCTTTAGTATCTCACAATAGGAGGTAACATGCATTTAATATCAGAGATCCATAAGAATAGGCAGGTCTGAACAGTCTAAAAAATAAAAATCTAAGTGGCTGCTCAAGGCTCGAGACTCTCAGAATGACATCTAAGGAGACAAAAAGTAGTTTGCCACTGGGTTCTGGATTTGCCTTGGTGTTTTCTGATCTGACTAGACATTCTACTGGGTATTGAGTACATGCTAAGGTCAGTTAAGCATACCGTGTCTCTCTTAAGCCTTTATAGCTCTTCTAGCTTAGGGAGATCAGCCCAGGGCTAATAGCAAAAGAACACAGCTCCAGATTTGTGAAAGTTGTCAATGCAAGCACAGTAGTCTCCATGTCACTGTATCAGATAGGTCAGGGCAGTCTGACCCAAGAGCTAGCTAGTCAAATAACAAGGGTTAACAAAAAGGCACGCAGCAGTGAGAGTCACCTAGAGTGCAAACGCATAGCAAATTATAATCTGGAAATTAACTGCAGCTTTAAACTGTCTAAAATCAGGTGCTTACCACTACTTTAAAGCTCTGTATTGCTGCACTACAGGAGGAAAGGTCTGGTCCGGACTGTCACAGAATCAGAAATCAGACTGGAAGATGACTCAAGGATTTGAGTCACCTGCTACAAGGCCTTAGAAAAGGATGTGGTGTGCAGGCTGGGCTGGGCTGGTTGTATGAAGTGTTAACAGTGCTGGGCTGGCTGGCTCCTTGTGCAATAAGGCAGGGGATGCAGGACTTCCCAGAGCTACAACCTACTGCAGGAAAGCGCTATGCCACCACAGCCCTTGGGGCTGCAGCTCAGCCACCCTCTTCCCAGGACGAAGGTGAAATCTTTGCACAGGGCTGCACCTTCCTACATAGATGCCTCAGATCCTCCACGTGATCTTTAGTACCATATTGTCTTTTATCTCCAGAGGAGAAAAAGGGCCAGAAAAACACCATATGCTGTCTCCTGAGAACTGCACAAAAGTACGTAATAGCTGACTTTGAAGGACATGTTGGCACATGAAACTGCTGCACATCCTCCTTTACTTTGCCATCCCCAGAGCAAATCTCCTGCCTCTGAAGAAAAGTCCCCCACCTATCCCATGCCAGGTACATCAGATCAGTTTCTTTCCCTTACCTGAACATAATCCAAAACCATGCCTGCCAAGACCATGCCAAGCCCAGCTAGGAGGTATGGCAGGAGCACTTGCAGGCAAATTGCGATGGCTGACTCTTCCCGTGACTTTGCCATGGCCACTTTCTCCTCAGCCAACAGCTTCTGCTGTGCATGCAGAGAGACATCCTCTGCCTCCTGGTTGCCAAGTCGGCTCTCTCTGTGTTTACCCTTGCTCTTTGCTTTGTGCCTTGATCGCTCTCCATTCCTAGTCCTGCCCTCTTTTCTCCTCTGCCGAACTTCCTCACCTTTCATGGTGGCTTTCTTGAATCAC